TGCATTAATAGAATATTACAGCAGATGAGGAAGCTGAGGATCTAAACCATCCATAATAACGCTCTAACATCATCCAGTACACAAAAGTTCGACAATTTTGAAAACTGCATACACACTTTCTGTATCAGATCGGTGGAGAGATATTCTCTAAAGATTCAGATCTTAAGAAAATGAAAAACTACATGACAAACGATGCAGCCTTGATCCTGACGGGATTCATACCGAGAATTCCCGGGCAGAAATGACAGTTCAGGAAATTCATCAAGTTGAGGCCTGATGAGAAATCAATCGCTCTAACAAAATATCCATTACGCTAAAACAACTAATCCACATGGCATTGGCCAGGATGCATGGCAGCAGTCAGCGATACAGTTGCTGGAACATTAAGGGAATTATCTTTGCCAAGTCAACAAAATTATGTACGTTAAATGTCCTTATGTACATAAAAAGGAGAACCCAAAAATAGAAAGTGTCGAACACAAGAAATAAAAATCAATTTTTGGTTAGTGCTGTCTTTACCTAAATGTAGATATCGTAGAGTAGATATATTGTAAACATACGCAGGTGTGAGTCTCGTACCGACAATACCCGTTATCCTGACTTGTCTCACGTTATGTATCTGGAGGCCTCGTTCTTTGGCTGCCATTGAATTGGTGCCTGCCAAGCTTCCCCTTAACATGGACAATGTGAGGGTGATCATGGCAGACACAGCAGCGTCACTCCCTCAGACGATGGCCATCCTCGCCCTAGTTCATTTCAAGTACCCCAATCGTCGTGTCTAATGGCAGTTTGATATTCATAGACCAATACCATTTCTCTGTCAAAAATCTGTTCTCACCATTCAGATACAATTTTGGTTTTAAACGAAACATTTTCTCATTTTGTTTTCCTATCCTCATAATTTCAGGTGTAATTATCATTCCACCTTGGACACTGATATCATTTTATGAAATGTCATTATTTTTACAGTACTTAATCTGGAGGAATTCAAAGTGCTGCTGCTCAGTATAGTAAACAGCTACTTCCATTCATCATACACGGGACCTACATATATACAATTACTCCAAACTATTTTCAGTGTAACATTTCTCACTCATTTAGATAAAAATTAACCTTCAAATTATAAATTATCACGTCTGCAGTGTACCGATGGTTTCAGTTTGTTTTTGTGAAGTAGGTCAGGAGTTGTATCCAAAACCGTATAAAAGACAAAATAAGGATAAAGGGGACGATTTCCTTATGCCACAGGATACAATTTAAGACGTCCGGACAGACAGAGCTAAGAAAATAGTGTCAGATGGCCCTACTCAGTACACAATTACACGCAAAGACACATGACTTAATTTGATTGGTCAATCATTGATTGTTTGGTCAAGAACAATTTTGAGGTCAAGCACAACTACAAAAGCTAACAAATGAAATCAATGTTCATTGATTGTAAACACAAATAAGGAAAAGGCCCCTACATTACTGACTCGGTTAATGTATTATGTCCATATAATAGAAATCATTGCTTCGTTAGTAATCAATTCTGATGTTTCCATGAGAGATTATTCAATTATTAAATGCCACTCAAGCATCTGAAGTATTAGATCACAGTGAGTAGAAATTCCTAAGTCACCATTACTTTGTTGACTCTGTACCATGGGTAGCTCTGTGTGAATGACTGACACCTGAAAGCTAGGTCAGTTTTACGGTATCCACACAAACGTAAATAATATCTCAAAATATTGCTAAAGTATCAGTACCTCAGATGAATACCATATCATATATCGGTCTCAATAAAGACAAGAGTCAATTAAAAAAATTCTGCTGTCATGTTATTGCGACTAAGACTGATCTCATCTGATATCTGTTACCACCTGACCAGAATCTAACCAGACAGTCGGGTTTCATCGTCACCTATAATTAGTGATCAGACCAAACCTAACCATCTGTCACCTGTTCGACAGGCTCTGGACCACTGACCTGCTGGACATCAACTCGTAAACCATCGTAAATGACGCACAGACAGTCGCAGTAAGGGTAGCACACTATAGCCTGACAAAAGCCTCTACAAAAACCCTCGTCAAAAGCTATTTCTGTCAACTTCTACCTGTGGACAACATAACTCTGGTAACCGTATACAAAATGCACAGCGACAAAGGCACATTAAATATTAAGATGTAATTGTTCTCGGAGAGACGGGACTTTAAAGACAGTCATAATGTACAGACCAGTGGCTTGGTTTTAGTTTTTAGATTTAATTTATGGCTACAGGTATAGTGTTGTGTTTTTGAAGTAAAAAGATGAGAACAAAACAGATGAAGAGATTAGATTTTAGAGATGTAGGATCAGGGTGTAATTGTTTTGATGTCCCTGTGTTTACATCACATGTTTACTCAGGTACATAGCCTGTTTGAATCTTTGATGATAATTCAAGCTGCTATAGCTGTCATCAAATAATTATCCATTCTTTTTTAAACCACTAAAGCAGTAATTTATTCTCTTTGTCCATACAGTAATAAACAATAAGGCATTACACCTTAAAAATACATGTGTCTATAAAACATTCAGTCCTCTACCTTGATAACAAGAGGCCCAGAGGGCCTGTATCGCTCACCTGAATATAATTAAAGTAATTGGTATGAAGTAAAGATATAGCACTCCATGGTAGGTGCTGTTAGTACATATGAAATTTCAGAAAGATCCATCCAGTACTTGAGATATAGAGAACAAACTTCAAACAGAGCCCTACCCCGATGCCCCTACGGGGGTCATACCCACCAATTATACAAAATTGAGTCACCGTCACCCAAGGATGCTCCACACTAAATAAGGATAAAATCCCTTAATCCCGATGGTCGGAGAAGGATTTTAAAGGTTTTACCTCTATTTTTCCTATTGGGCCCCGCCCTTCTGCCCCCCCCCCATCCCTCGGAGACCACACCTACTGCTAATACAAAATTGAGTCCCTTTGGCCCAAGGATGCTCCAGACTAAATTAGGATAAAATCCCTTAATCCCTTTGGTAGAAGAAGGATTTTAAAGGTTTTACCTCTATTTTCCCTATTGGGCCCCGCCTCTCTGCCTACAGCGGGGTCAGACACACTGTTTATACAAAATTGGTTCCCCTTCACCCAAGAATGCTTCAGACCAAATATGGACAAAATCCTGCCATTCCTACCGAAGAAGAAGGATTTTGAAGATTTACGTCTATTTCCCCTATTGGGCCCCACCCCTCAGGTCCCAGGGAGGCCACACCCACCGTTTATACAAATTGGTTCCCCACTACCAAATGATGCTCCACACCAAATATGGACCAAATCCTTTCATTCCTACAGAAGAGGAAGGATTTTAAAGAATAATTTGCTATGTTTCCCCTATTGGGCCCCAAGGCTCAGGCACCTGGGGGGCCAGATCCACGGCGTATACAAAATTGGTTCCCCTTCACCCAAGAATGCTTCAGACCAAATATGGAACAAATCCTTTCATTCCTACAGAAGAAGAAGGATTTTAAAGAATTTGCAATATTTCCCCTATTGGGCCCTGCCCCTAGCCCCCAGGGGGCCAGACCCACCATTTATACAAACTTTGTTTCCCTTCCCCCAAGGATGCTTCTGACCAAATATGGACCAAATCCTTTAATTCCTACAGAAGAAGAAGGATTTTAAAGAATAATTTGCTATACTTCCCCGATTGGGCCCCGCCCCTAAACCCCCAGGGGGGCCAGACCCATGGTTTATACAAACTTTGTTCCTCTTCCCCCAAGGATGCTTCTGACCAAATATGGACCAAATCCTGTCATTCCTACAGAAGAAGAAGGATTTTAAAGAATTTGCTATATTTCCCCTATTGGGCCCCGGCCCTCAGCCCCCAGGGGGGCCAGACCCACCATTTATACAAACTTTGTTCCCCTTCCCCCAAGGATGCTTCTGACCAAATATGGACCAAATCCTTTCATTCCTACAGAAGAAGAAGGATTTTAAAGAATAATTTGCTATATTTCCCCCATTTGGCCCCGCCCCTCAGGCCCCTGGGGAGCCAGACCCACCATTTATACAAAATTGGTTCTTCTTCACCCAAGGATGCTCCACACCAAATTTTGTTAAAATCCGCTCAGAGGTTCATGACAAGTAGTGTAGAGTTGACGGACGACGGACGCTGCGGTATGGCATAAGCTCACCTTGGTCCTTCGATTCGGACCAGGTGAGCTAAAAATAAAAGCATAATTCTGGGGTTGTTATCAAGAGTCACATCACCAAGTCTTTTAAAATCGTTTTCACCAAATAATCATATTGTGAAAAACATTGACTGTTGATGAAGGCACATAACAGTCAGAAAGTTTTTGGAATATACAGTACTTTCCACTTAATATCATGTCTCTTAATGTCAATTTTTTGTTTAATATCATGTTTTCTTGAAACACCATATTTCCTGCTATTTATTCTATGGCATGTGACATGTGTAAATATCAGTTGTTTTGACGTTATCTCCACTTAATATCTCTTCAATTTGGCCGCTAGTTGTCACAAAATGTTAATATCATGCTTTCCTCTGACATATCGTAGTGATATTAAGGTAATAGGATTGTGTCGCCATTTCTCAGTAGAATTTCTTCCAATTTTGTAGTTATATTGCTTTGAAGGAAAGAAAATGTTCTGCCACAAAAAATATATAGGTTGTCATAACAAAGTGTACTTATGTGAAAACAAATATGGTGGAAAATATACCATACTAAACCCTCACACGTCCTACAGGCTTATTTAGAGTACACAACACATACAGCTGACTGAACACCGAAACAAGAAAAACCCATGGTGTAATTTGGTAATTTTCCTCCTTGAACTAGAAGGCAAATTTTTAACACCATACACAAAAAATATCATTTATATATTAAGTAAGTATTGTAAAAACGTATTGGTGGGCAGGTCAAATACTGAATGAATTCATTTTTATTTAAAAAGTCTGAGGGCTGCAAACATTTGGTGTAAACGCATTTCAGGATAATACAGTATTTACCTTGTCTTTGTATAGGATGTTCAGTCTTTACACAAGCAGTTCTTGTCCATGGAATCTGAAAAATGAATAAATTGTGACATTTTTACATAATTACCCCAGTATCTGTATATGTTTACAAGTTCAAATATGGTGCAGCACTGCAAATGATAATCACTTTGCTTTTTTTTAGTTGAGGTCTGGTGGTGAAACACTGTCCGACATTAAACCTGACATCCTATATGGTTCTTTATTGCTAATACTACTAGTTAGACCTATATGGTGCTACTGTTCCCCAATATTGAGCTCTACTGATCTATATTGTAGAGCTCTGCTGATTCCCATGTTAACCCCTTTACAGACCAATAAGACAATACATTGCCCCATAATACAGTCCTTTTATAATTATACTGATATGGTGCTACATTACCCCACAATACAGACCCTTTATACACTTTGGAGCTCTGCTGATCCTTAATTATATCACCATATACAGACCAACATGGTGCTTCAATTCCCCATAATACAGTCCTTTACTGATATAGTGTGATGTTGATCCCCGTAATACACAGACCAATATGGTGCTTCAATTCCCCATATTACAGTCCTTTACTGATATAGTGCGATGTTGATCCCCGTAATACACAGACCAATATGGCGTTCGTACGATTTCTCATAATTTCCACGACTATCATGTTGATTGCATACTGTCTCTGTTTCTCTCTTTTTTCTCTCTCGAGTCATTGATCAATTTCACCACAACAAACACCGAATGCTGGAAGAAAAACCCTACTTGGAGTGTTTTTTTACTTCACAACTAAATTGGGTTAGGTGGAGTGATTACGAATGCTTAGGAAAAAGGAGACAGATAAGGAAAAACGCCACATTTGAATACCCTTTCATCAATTCTGTATCCCTATTATCCAATACTGTAGAAAGAGCATACAGTATTTAGAAATAAGAATTCACTTGATTCTAATCTTTCGGCAATTTACTCCAGCTCTGAGAACTCAGCCTCAGGCCTTCACAATCACATTGTAATCCAAGTAATTATTCAAAATCAGTGATAACGGTAGCTAATGAGCGAACAGAAAACTTTGGTTACTACATCATAAATAATCTAAGCTATCGGATATTAATTAATGTTTCCGGTGATTTATAATCTACTGATGTTATTTTTTTAGATAAACAGCAGGAAACAAAACCGATGACAGAGTAATGTCAGAGCTACAATTATGATACATGGAATTATTTCAATGCTGTAAAATTGATGTTAGAGCAAAGATTTTTTACAGAAAGAGAAGAAAAAAATATCAATGATTTAAAGGAAGGATGTAATTCCCTCAATTTAATATCCATCTCAGTATTTTCTATTAATATTTATCTATAATAAAAAGGGATCATGACAATTCTTAGTATACTGGTATATAACACCATCATACCTTGGACATATTCATTTGTAGCAGTGGTACATGGTTCCATCATAACTCACCTCCTGGTATATACTGGTACCCATTAGAACCACTAGGTAGACTATAGTAACTTCATTAACTTATTTGATCCTAGTTGTAAGTAGGTATTTTTATGAAATCTCCCTATTCTTTCACACATCAATCAGGCCTGACCTACACAAGTCATTATAAACGCTCCTCAAGATTTCCATTGCTATGGTTACAAAACAAAAATGTACAGAAATTGCAGAAAATATACCCATGAGGTAAGTATGATATCTAAGCATTTATTCTGAGACAAGGTATTGTTATACCGGATCTCCCGCAGACCTCAGCCAGACCAATTGGAGAGAAATCCTCATACTGAGGATCCAAAGGCCTGTGTTGGTGACGGTGAAGTCAGATACACACTTCCGTTACAGTATGTCTCTAAGCTAGCCTCCTCGACTCCAAAATGTACGCCCACAATTCATCTTATCTTTGACAAAAGCAAATCAACAAATAGCTGGACATCACCATTATCCACAGCTAAAAGACTTTTTCCACTTCAATGTTCCTAAAGCTATGATGATACCTGAATTTGCCGAAAAAATAAGAATGGATCATTTGGTTAAGGGCGTGTGTGTGCCAGTTCAGTCAGGGGTAACGACAAAGTAGTCTTATGGGGGATGTAAAATAATGTTGGATGTTGTTTCAGTCAACACAAGCTGTCTGTAAAGTCAGAAACCCCCTACTTCCTGTCTGACCTACGACCCTGTTATTACATTATGAACCTATCACAGGAGTAATACTGACTCCCTCTAACGACATCTCCACCACCAAGAACAAAAATAATTTTCAAATTCCTAACAACATGCATTATTTGTACAACCCTTTTTTATGTTTCGTCCTTTATCAAAAAATGATGCAACATCAAATAAAAACTGGGTTTTTTTAAACGGAAATACAATTATTATAACACATGTAAAACAGACGATTTCCAGCAGTGCTGTGTTGTTCAGCCCTGTTTAACTAACACCATGATCACTTGAATACAAAAATCAACAAGGAACACAGTATCACACACACATTCTGACACCAGCTCCACAATCTGTGACCTTCAAGTGTTGATGGCGTAGTGGTCTACCGTAGTTTCATTAGCTATCAACCCACACAGCAATAAAACAGCATCAAAATGTCAACTCTTACAGCAACAATCCCAGCCAAGAACTTCAATATCGTATCAAATTTTTAGAGAACTAAAACGTCAGAATTTTATAAACATACATGTAGTTTTCAAAGGAACAGATCTTCCATTGGTAAATATGCAAAACAAGGTCGAAACAAACTCCACTCAACAAGGTCAAAATAGACTCCACTCAATAAGGTCAAAATAGACTACACTCATCAAAGTCAAAACAGACTCCAATCATCAAGGTCAAAACAGACTCCACTCAACAAGGTCAAAACAGACTCCACTCAACAAGATCAAAACAGTCTCCACTCAACAAGGTCAAAACAGTCTCCACTCAACAAGGTCAAAATAAAGTCCAGTCAACAAGGTCAAAACAGACTCCACTCAACAAGGTCAAAACAGTCTCCGCTCAACAAGGTCAAAATAAACTCCAGTCAACAAGGCCAAAACAGACTCCACTCAACAAGGTCAAAATAGACTCCACTCTCAACAAGGTCAAAACAGTCTCCACTCAACAAGGTCAAAATAAACTCCAGTCAACAAGGTCAAAACAGACTCCACTCAACAAGGTCAAAACAGACTCCACTCACCAAGGTCAAAATAGACTCCACTCAATAAGGTCGAAACAGACTCCACTCAACAAGGTCAAAATAGACTCCACTCAATAAGGTCAAAATAGACTTCACTCATCAAGGTCAAAACAGACTCCACTCAACAAGGTTAAAATAGACTCCACTCAATAAGGTCGAAACAGACTCCACTCAACAAGGTCAAAATAGACTCCACTCAATAAGGTCAAAATTGACTTCACTCATCAAGGTCAAAACAGACTCCACTCATCAAGGTCAAAACAGACTCCACTCAACAAGGTGAAAACAGTCTCCACTCAATAAGGTCAAAATAGACTCCACTCAACAAGGTGAAAACAGTCTCCACTCAATAAGGTCAAAACAGTCTCCACTCAAAAAGGTCAAAATAAACTCCACCCAACAAGGTAAAAACAACCTCCACTCAACGAGCTCAAAGCAGACTCCACTCAACAGGGTCGAAACAGTCTCCACTCAAAAAGGTCAAAATAAACTCCAGTCAACAAGGTGAAAACAGTCTCCACTCAACAAGGTCAAAATAGTCTCCACTCAACAAGGTGAAAACAGACTCCACTCAAAAAGGTCAAAATAAACTCCAGTCAACAAGGTGAAAACAGTCTCCACTCAATAAGGTCAAAACAGACTCCACTCAACAAGGTCAAAACAGTTTTCACCCAACAAGGTGAAAACAGACTCCACTCAAAAAGGTCAAAATAAACTCCAGTCAACAAGGTCAAAACAGTCTCCACTCAATAAGGTCAAAATAGACTTCACTCATCAAGGTGAAAACAGACTCCACTCATCAAGGTCAAAATAGACTCCACTCAACAAGGTGAAAACAGTCTCCCACTCAATAAGGTCAAAATAGACTCCACTCAACAAGGTGAAAACAGTCTCCACTCAATAAGGTCAAAATAGGCTCCACTCAATAAGGTGAAAACAGTCTCCACTCAAAAAGGTCAAAATAAACTCCAGTCAACAAGGTGAAAACAGTCTCCACTCAATAAGGTCAAAATAGACTCCACTCAATAAGGTGAAAACAGTCTCCACTCAATAAGGTCAAAACAGTCTCCACTCAAAAAGGTCAAAATAACCTCCAGTCAACAAGGTCAAAACAGTCTCCACTCAACAAGGTCAAAACAGTCTCCACTCAATAAGGTCAAAATAGACTCCACTCATCAAGGTCAAAACAGACTCCACTCAACAAGGTCAAAATAGACTCCACTCAATAAGGTCAAAATAGACTCCACTCATCAAGGTCAAAACAGACTCTACTCATCAAGGTCAAAACAGACTCCACTCAATAAGGTCAAAATAGACTCTACTCAACAAGGTGAAAACAGTCTCCACTCAATAAGGTCAAAACAGTCTACACTCAAAAAGGTCAAAATAGACACCACTCAACAAGGTGAAAAAAGTCTCCACTCAATAAGGTCAAAACAGGTTCGCTCAACAAGGTCAAACCAGACTCTACTCATCAAGGTCAAAACAGACGCTACTCATCAAGGTCAAAACAAACTCCACTCAACAAGCTCAAAACAGACTCCTCTCAATAAGGTCAAAATATACTCCACTCAACAAGGGCAAAATAGACTCCACTCAACAAGATCAAAACAGTCTCCACCCAACAAGGTCGAAACAGACTCCACAGTCTCCACTCAACAAGGGCAAAATAGACTCCACCCAACAAGGTAAAAACAGTCTCCTTTCGATAAGGTCAAAACAGACTCTACTCATCAAGGTCAAAACTGACTCTACTCATCAAGGTCAAAACTGACTCTACTCATCAAGGTCAAAACTGACTCTACTCATCAAGGTCAAAACTGACTCTACTCATCAAGGTCAAACCAGACTCTACTCATCAAGG